TACTATATAAAAATTATTTTAAATTTTATATTAAAAATAGATGTGATTTTTTTAAAATTTAAAGTAGTATAACTTAATTGATGATCTGTAAAATTAGGAGAATCAATAATCAACATTTTATAAGTAAATTTGGGGTTAAATAACATATATTTTTTAAAATCAAGATTTCTAATATTCTATATTGTAAATTTCGGTGCAAAGGTACCCAGGTATTTTACATTCCAAGTAACAACAAACCTTGATTTATACCTTGAGTATATTGTATAGCAGGCAGTATATTACATAGAGGTATCTTGTAAGGAGTGTATATTAGCCCATAAGTAATAAATAATTATTAGTAAATTGGCCTTTAATTTGTATCCGGGTCTCTTACAAAATGCCCGGAACAAAACAAGAGATACCAATCAAAGGGTACCTTGCACTAAAATTTTAGGTAAGTTACACAATTTTTTTATATATAATTAGCAAAGTTACGTTTGAAAGGAATTTTTACAAGTTATTAATACCCAAAACAAAATCAGTATATAGTAAAGTAGTACTATATAGAAATGCAAATTAGGACAAACCTAGATGGTATGCATAGCTTGCAAAAGAAAAAATTCATCAAATTAGTTATTTTTCTTACTGGCTGTTCTTACACAACATGAAAATTAACTAGAAGGCTACAGTAAATTGACAGTAATATTGTTTTAAGTAAAAAATATAATTGAATATACTTAGCTGTGTGTTGTAGTATTTAAAACTTTATTTCAAGTTTCAATTCATAAATAAATTTAAAATTACAGATAACTTGAAGTATATGGAGTCAAAATAATCGAAGATTAGTAATAGGTATATGTGTTTACAAATTTTATATAAGTATAGAATATCTTGTAGCCAAAATCAAGCCGTTGCTTATAAGCTGATTCAGATCAGAGGTTGTTCAAGAATTATCTGAAGTTAGCAAGTAGGCAATTGGCATAATAATAGATTAAACAAAAGTAAGTATTTATAAAAATCTGATTGTTATAAATTTAAAATTTTGCTGACAAGTTTGTGCCTGACGTTAACAATATAATTAAAATTTTCTGATATCTTCTCTATTCTATAGAATTAGAACTTCATATGGTATTATCAGTTATAGAATAATTACCATTATTATTGTTATATGAGAATTCTGACTTTGGACTACTTTGAATAATTTAAATTGAGTAAGACTTGTACATATATTTTAGCGACTGTGGGAATTAATTTTTTAACTAATTTTGGTAACAATATTTAATCTAATTTATTCTGTATATTAGCAGAATTTTAACACATTTGTTCTATATAGTTAAAATTTTTTGTACTTTTATATAGCAGTTTTTTTGGTAGCTATGGTTCTTCTTTACAAATATATGTGATAGTATTGGATTTTTTTCTACATATTATGTCAAGTAAAAATACATATTTGCAATCTTCGTTCTTGGGTCTGCAACTTCTATCTTTAGGAAAGATAATAGATAATCTCTATTATGGATCTTTTTGTTCCAATTGGTGGTTATTTTCTGAAGAAAAGCAAACTATACCTTATCATATTAATTGTCGAATTCAAACAGTATTAAATTCACAAAAATTTATTGTAAGAATCATTAGAAGTGATCAGTATAGGTTTCAACCAAACTTTATATGTAAAAATAATTTACAAAATCAAGTTCACGCTTCAATTTCAACAGCCATTAGTATAACGTATCAAAAAAGTTTTTCATACAAGACATGTATATCTGGACCTGCTGCTTTTAGACTTTTTAATGATCAAATTATTAATTAATTGTTGTTTGATATTAAATTTATACCTTTTTATATAAAATATAATAATATCAACATTTTAATTGTAAACTTGAAGTCTTCAGAAAATATTGATCTTGCATATGCAGGACCTAATTACCTAGCTACATTTACAAAAAAAATTGGAGGTATACAAAACTTAATAGTACAAAATATTGCTAATGAAAATGAATATGTTATTATGGTGTATTGCTAAGAAAAGCTTATAACCTCACAAAAGAGTGCTACTCCTATTGAAGCTTAGCAATGAATAACCTTTCTTCAAAATTATAATGGCTTGTCTTTATTCAGTCTTGAAAATTCTAAAGTGCAACAAATGTTACAACATAAAAAAAATACACTACTAAAATACAATATTACAAATTGGAATAATTTTGAAATAATGGAGACATTATTTAAAAAATATCTTCGTCACCAAATTTCTACTACACAAATAAATTGGTTTTAATTTTTTACTTTGTAGAAAGCTCAAAAAAGTACTATTATCAAATTATTATCTTACCTTTCACAATTATATTCAGATAAATATTTATTTATAGAACGTAAATTGTATGTCTGGAGATTAATGTTGCGAAATGTTGGCTGTACAAATATTACACCATTTTCCGAAGAAGAATTACAGGTTAATTACTTTTATTATAACCAAATTTTCTTAATAAAATTACTTATAATTTATATAGCTTGAATTTTGGTCATGCACAATAGATCCAGTACTGGATTAAGAAACATTATCAAATTTATATAATGCTAGATTGTTAAACCTATCAACTAAAATTCAAAAAAATATTGATCATGAATTAACTAATACTGATGACAAAAATAAAAAAGGAATTGATGAAAAAAGGTGTATCTTATCTGTTATAGCTAAGAATTTTAGTTCTAAAGAATTGTATAAAAATTTACAAGTTAGTAATAAAAATTTTTACAATACATAATTCAAAATACTGTAATTAATTTTTTTTTTTTAGGTTTCCAATAGGTTGATATTTGCAGCAAAACAATAAATGGACCTGGTTGTTTGGCAATAATGAAAAAGCCAGTAGTTACAAAATCTTGTATTTCAGATATTCAAGATGCGCAATTTAAAGCTTTTTTTACAGATAAAAACAATGTTAGTATGAGTTCTTATGCTGTTAACAAAAAGACCGATTTATCACTCTTATATTTAAAAGATAATAAGCAATCTCTTTGAAATAAATTTGAAGCCACTTACTCTGATGGAATTAAGTAAACCTCTTTTATGGCAAGGTTATGTAATGATAATATGTATATCGAAAAGATCTTGGATGTTTATACAATATTTGCCATGAATATGGATATGTTGTATTTGATTCTTTAATTAGTCTAATTCAAATAATTATTAAAGAACAAACTATACAGGTTAGTAAAAAAATTATATATAAATTTATTTATTTTAGAGTGATACTAATATTTAAAATTTTTAATATTAAGCATTAGTTTATTAATAATATAGAAATATTACGGCATTATCTTTGCAAAAAATTTGAAACAAAACTTACTGTAAATTTAGATAGTACAAGCACACATGTTTTATATATTAATTATTGCTTAATGTTTGTATTTGGTGAATGTGTAGAAGAATATAACTACCAATGCAATAATTGTAATGCTTTTTTCTTATTGTTTGAAAATTTAAAAAAAGAATTACCAAATGATTATCATAAATTATTATTAGAGCAAAAAGAAAAGCTTATTTATTTTCTTGCTTATCAAATATGCAAAACCTATTTAAATAGTCAATTTAATGCAGCATTATTAAAATTAAATAATAAAGATGCAATATTTTTGGCAGATTATAAAATGAGAATTTTAGAAAAATGAGCACGTGAAACTAAACAGCAATTTTTTGGCAAAAGAGGATGGACTCTACATGCCATCTTGGTTTTTACCAAACAAAATAATATCAATATAGAAGTACAAGCCTTTGATCATTGGTCTTTAAATACCAAACAGGATGCATGGTTTACAGCATCTTCCTTTGATTCTGTATTTGAAACTTTAGATTCTAAACCTAAATAGATTAAAATATTTTTAGACAATGGCGCACATTACCACAACTCAGAAATAATGGCAATAGTTGCTAATTGGTACTAGTGGTATTCAATTAAAGTTAGAAGTTGGTGTTTTTTTAAGCCCAGAGAGGCAAAATCTTTGGTAGATTCTTATTATGCAGCGGTAGAAATATTATCTATTTACTGTCTATTTTAAAATTTATAATTAATTATTAATTATAGTTTTGATAATAGATTTCACATGCAATAGCTCGATATGTTTGAATTGGATATAATTTTGATTCAGGTGAAAAAATTCAAATAGCTGTTCAAGATCTTAGCGGAACTTCTGTTGCAAACATTGAACCATTGCGTGATCATATAAATATTAAAACAATAAAACAAATATCTAAATATTTTTATTGGAAATGGCCAATTACAAATAATCTTGAGGATTTATTATGATACAGGAATTACCTAATATTAAAGAATGGAAAATTTTTTTATCAGAAGAAATTACAAAATTGATTGAAGAAGAGATTTATAAATCTAACCCACATATGGGTTATTTATATTAAAAAGGCCCATTTTGCAATATAAACAATTTTGAGATAATTGAGTTTAATAATTTGTTTTGATTTTCAGACTGATCCGAGATTAAGCAAATTTCATAATTTTGATTGGTTAAAAGTAACAAGTGACTATCGGGTAATCTTGTGATATTCTTGGCCTTAGACAGCTTCGTGTAATTTTTCTTTATATTATCTCTATTTTTTATTAAGCAAATCGCCTTTCACTTATAATTGAAAAATGTTAGTCATGTCAAAATTTACATGAATCTAATAAAAACTCATTTTTCGAAAATTTGCAAAATGGGCCTTTTTAATATGAATAACTCCATATGTCTAACTATAGCAATTCTAAAAAATCTTGGATTATTTCAATTCCTCAAAAAAAAGGTAAAATGTAATAGTCAATACATATATATTATTGGGCAAAAATTTTTAAACAATGGTAAATTTGTTCAACTAGGCAAATAAACATGTGTTGCTTTGTGGCATATGTTAGCCAATTCTTTGCCCAGTTGAGCCAATTTACTGTTATTTAAAATTTGCCAAATAATGGTATTATCTGACAATTTATAATCATGATTGGTAGGAAGTTGTTGCTAAGTTTTAATCCAAGTAAACGTGATTATTTTGTAATACATAAAAAAACAATCGAAAGAAATATATTCATAATCATAAGAGTTTGTCAAATAAAATGTTTTATTTAGATAAAATATTAATCCAATTTATTATTTGATTTTGTAAAAATAAACCCATTAGATTCTAATAATGAAAGTATAAATTATTATTTTTGAATATGATATGAACTTATAAAAAAAATACCATAATGCACTTATATAACATTGCATATAGTAATTCTTTGAAGAAATATAGTATTAAAATGCTACTTAGTATAGATTCTAATATTTTCAAAAGTATACTAGTAAATCACGTAGTAATTTATTATAATCATAATTAGAACTAATACCCAATCATATTATAATCGAATTATATTATTATGCTCTTTTCTCTCTACTTTGATATAATACTTCTTTCTTTATATTATTCCCGGATATTATACTTCTCTCTTCATATAATATCTACAGGATATCATTTAATAACTTTGGTTTTTGAAAAAGACAGGTACTGTGTATAGTACTATATAATTAATTTTTTTGATTAGCACATTATAGTACTGTACGTGCAGTATTAGATAAAAAAATCTATAATATTAATTATTTATACTATTATTATTCATTTTTAAACTTACCATATATATATTATTTTGCATAGATATTGAAAAATATAATGGTTCATATTCTTTACAATTAGATTGGGCTTTATAAAGTAATCAAAAACTAGGAAAATGTGAAAGTGAAAAACAAATATCTAAGTTAGTAAAAAGTTACTTAGAAGGATTTTTTTTAGCTAGTAATAAAAATAAAACAGATCATATATCAGCTACTGAAATGGTAAAAGAATTAGAAAACATGATAAAGGATAGTGAGCTCGATGCTGAAATTCCAACCATAAAAACAGTAGAAGGGTGGATTAAAACTTACTCGGAAAAATTACACAAATTAAATGCTAATGAATTATTGAATAATAACACAGAAGATAATAGTATATTACAAGAATTGTCATATAATAAAGAAACAGACAAAGAAAGCAATAGCATACTTAATAACCATTCTGGTTAAAAAAAACAAAGAACTTGTTAAATATTATATTTTAACAAATATTAAGTATGTTAAATCATATAATTAGAGAATATAAAGTAATTGACAACCTTAAATCAGCGTTTCTGATGTTTAAAAGTTTTGTAAATAATATTAAGTTTTTGCTTAAAATTAAATAACTGTTTTAATATATGATCGGTAAAGTTTTTTTGATTTAATTTTTAATTTCTCGTGACTTTTACAAGGGGTTGTATATATAGTAAATTTTATGATTTTTCATGTGATTTACCAATTTATATAGATAATCGACCTGCTATTTTACTATTAATAAATTCTCCTAATTTCACGGATCATCAATTAAATCAAATCCGGGTTTATAGCTGTTTTCATTGAAATTTGATTTTGACAAATTCAAAACTCATCGAATTCGGCTAATCAATTTTTATCAGTTGTCCCAGAATTTATGAAAACAGCTGTAATAAAACTGATAATTCGATTTTGCGGTTGTAATAAACTCACAATATTGTCATATAAAGCCAGAACAGATAGAGTTGCAGATGAACTGGTTTTGCTATAGTTTTAACCCGAGTCACTCGTTGGCTATTATACAGTATTTAATTTATTTCAATTTTATCTGCAATTCTAATTTCAAATTTACATGTAGGTCAATTAAATGCATGTTATTTAAAACATACCAAAATAGTATTAGGTAAGAGCAGTTTTATTATTTTGCATTATCAATTATTTCATTATTCTGTCTCAGCTATATTTCTATTATTTTATTACTAGCTATAATTGTACTTACATCGTTATATCATATATTGTTATCTTTTATACCCAGCTTCTATCATATAGTTAACAAAAGAGCAATTTAGATTACACATACATATAGTACACAGGTCAGAGATAGTAAATTACTAGGTCATTTACTCAAAATTTAAATGACCAAGTTATTTGAGTAGATGACCTGATCATTTGGGTCATTAGGTCACTTATATATGAAGCAATTTTATTGGTTAGATAGCTAATATAAAAAGTTATCAAATGCATAATTTCACTAATCGATAATCGTAGCTACACAATTTTGACAGGGCGTAGGATATCGCGTAATAGTCGGAAAACAAACATTATCAAATGTAAAAACTCTGTTTATATTTGAGTTAGGGTTTAAGAGAATTAGAAAAAGTTATTATATAGTAAAATTGCACAAGGAATTTTTTTTGTTAGAGCTCCAAAGGTAGTTTACTAGGCTAAATTTCGAGATAAATACGATTTTTGCAAAGTAAACGTTTGTTTTGAGTTTTTTTATATTGCACCTAATCTCGAATTTTAATTGGCTAATAGGCATCAGAAAATCATATGATAGTAAAATCGATTCTACAAAGTCAAGTTAATCCAATATTTATATCTTTAGTAAATTTTTGACTTTTATGTAGCTACGATTATCATAATATTTTATAAAAACTACTTTATGTCTAATAATCGATTTTGATTGGCTAAAAGGCCAGTTAGCAAATGTTATAGCGCTTTGCAAAAAGATGTGAATATGTGATTTTAGTGATGATGATGGCTAAGGTTCCAGATTGTCAGTTACTTTATATTTTCGATTGGTTATGTTTATATTTAAAATCTCAAAAAATCTATAAAATCTCCGATTCTTACATGACAAATGATCTGCAGTGCAAGCGCAAAATGACCTTCTATGGTCATTTAAATGTGAAATGACTAGTCACTAGTTATTTGGATCATTTGGGATCATTTTAAGTTATTTACCAGGGTAGCTTATGTCGTGAATCGGAATAGATTAGTCATACAACCAAAATTCAGCAGATCAGGGACGGAAAGAACCAAAATTGATAAATTTTGCCAATAATCCAATAATCTACGTGCTAAATAAAATTCTGAATTTTGGTTGTGTGACTAATCTATCTGTAAATCACATGGTTATAGGATTTTTGCTAACAGTATAACGCAGAACTATAATTTTTCCATGGGCGAATTAAGATCTCCATATGTAAGAATAATTAACTATGGTATTGATAGATAAAATGAAAAAAAAAAATAACATACTGAAATAAAAAGATAGGTTAAATGTATAAACTCAAAATGTATAGAAATCATTTGAACACTACTATAAGAAAATGAAGCTTCAGACTTCAAGCTTATCATTATTATTATTTGTCAAATTCAGCTAGTGAAAATTTAATCAGATATATATTACATGTGATTACATATTATAGACGTTACTATTGTACTATCAGGTTTTTTTAAAGGCCAAATCTAATAAAAATAAATTGTAAAATTGAAGGCTCGAAGTATGATTTACTCCCTTCATTTATGGTATTCATCAATTTTTTATTTAATAATATAACTTATTATACCATATTTAAATAAAATTTAAAATTTTTTTAACAACAGAAAGCTTTTTTCTTGTGTAATATTTTATGATAGGATTTTGAAATCTTATGTTGATTTCTAACTGTAAAGATGTGTATAATAATAAGAAAGGCCAAAATAGAAAGGTGTAGAATCTAAATTGCCAATCTAATCTGTTAAAAGTAACTGAAACCTTTATTAATTAAAAAATCACTTATATTAATATTTCTGTATGTTTTAACATTTTTGAAACTTTAAAAAATGAAAATTTTCATTGCTACTCATTGTTAGAAAAAAAAATAAAAAATAATACTGATTTTATCAGTTAAGTCCATAATTGAACCTGAACTAACTGTTATGAGGTCGAAAAGATTGAAACCCGAATTTTATTAGTTTCGAAGACTGATCTATCATTATTAGCCACATTAGTTGTTACGTGTTTTTAAATATTTTTACTAATTAACTGTATATATTATGACAATATAATCTTAATCCTTTATGTTAATAACTAAATATAGTGTGCTAATTAGACCTTGTTAAAAAAAGTACTGAATGATCACAAATTATTATTCACTTCATAGACAACTTAGTTTATATACAATTTATAGACAGTTAATTCACAGACAAATTCAATAAAATCGAATTCATGTATCTAAATAAATCGCAATAAACACAATTTGAATCTTAAGGCAATCTGTTGATAACGATAGAGAATAGGTTCGTTCCATCATATGACATTACATATCATGAATACCAAATCCGGTCAGTAGCAGTACCGTATTTTACCGTGCAAGGTACCCGGGTACGATTTAATTTCACGTGGTAAAAAATTTGATTTGTACCCCGGGTACCTTGTATGGTGTAGGGTACATTATGTGGGGGGTCTTTTGTAAGGGG